TTTTTTTCTTGCAGTTGAAACACAAAATAGTGAGATTTTTAAGATTTAGTTTTAAGTTATAGAATTTAACATACAGTACACTACATTCAAATACAGTAACTAAGGATAAATTCCTTTGTCACAAACCTCCCTTTAACATCTGGCTTCGTTCGTTTTTGAATTTGTATTCTATAACAGTTTTACCTCATCAGATGTATTGACAATGACATTGTCACACCCAGGTTAAAAGTGGGGACTACAGAAAAGTGCAGATAAATATGATGACACAGCCACTATAGCACATAAGTGCAAAAACAAAAATGTCTGTGTAGCTGAGTTCTTCAGGTCCACACACAAAACAAATACATCCACCAATTAATGAAATGTAAAAAAAAGATGTTACCACTGAGGTATCTATTAAAATATAACATTAAAGCTAAAGCAACAGAATTCTTTGATTCGCAGCTGATGTACGTGGTGTGCCTGGGTAACATGTACTGCCTCTTTATCGAGTGAGGATAGAATGGGTGCCTCTTATCACATTTCACTTTATCAGAATGTAAACTGCACCTTAGGGACAACAGAAAATAAAAGCACTACAGAGAATTCATTAATATTCATATCTGGAAGTTTACCACAAGTGCAGAGTGTGCATCAATACTTAGGAAGTCATTCATGAGTGAATCAATACTAATTACCGAAATCAGGGAGGTTAATTAGGAACTCCTGAATGCCTCTGATGGGGACTTCACTGCATCCAATCCTGGAAACACCTAAGCTGATGAAACCTGAGGAAAGGTGACATTAGGTTGACAGAATCAAGCTTTTTTGGAGGCCTTCTGAGCAAGGATCAGTGAAGCTGCAACACTTTGGAATAAAAATAAATGAGCCACTGAAATTTGCAGCGCCAAGCTTAATGAGGAAAAGGACAGAACTTTAAAATAACCCATGGATTACAGGATTTATAATATAAACACATTTGACCAATTTAAATTGTGCATTATTGTGTCAATATATATATATACTATGTAATATTAGGAAAGCACAATAAATTAATTATTTAAAATCTACATTTACCATTAATTAAATATGCTTTCCCTTTCCCGTGAGGTGTGCTCATTTTAAAAATGTATTTTAGGAACTAATGTTACAGTCTGTATACTTTCATACTTAACAAGATATTGATGTGCTGTTGTGCATCTGTATCTTATCTAACAAAAAGCCGGGGGTAAACAATTTAATTGAAATAGCAAGCTTTGCTTTTAAAGTGGAATTCAGTGTCTAAGATTATGCAATGGGTGTTGTTAATTTCCTTTTTTACATTTCTTTTTATTTGTATTCTCCATGGCAGAAAGCACTGAATATGGTCATTATTGGGAATGCATTCTAAATGACATATTTTATCCAGGCATCATGAACCTGTGTTGGTATGGCAGACTACTTTTACTTGACCTTTGCTGTCACAACCTGAAGAGGATAATGGTGAAATGTGGATTCTGGTGTAATAATAGCATGATATTGCAAACACAAGAAACAGGGCATCAGTATATATGGAAGATTTAAGAAATGTCTAGATAAGTAAAATGACAGTAAGAGACATTCACAAATAGAATATAATTCCCTTTCCTATCCCTACGGACTCTACACTTCCCCAATGCTGTTTCCCCTCAGATTTCTGAAACAATACAGCACAGCATGAGTACCAATGCAGGGCCACAGCCACTGTGTAAGCCATTTTTATTGTGATTTTAGTGGAGCATCACATGAACAGTTATACAAAATTTATTTCAGGCTGAAAATCAATGCTGAATCGCTGGAACAATAACATTTAGGTCACTGCTCAGAAAGGAATGAAGAGACATCCTCCTATTCTGCAGAAAAGAACAAGCCCAGCTCCAAGCTACTATTGCTGTTCACTTGTGTCAGGGAATAAAATTGGACTTTTTTTCACCCACAGTGTCATACAAGACACAGGCAGTCAAGGCAGCTTTATTTTATTGTTTGTGAAGTATCTTTGAGTGAATCAATGAAATATAATTCATCACAGCCCAGGATTCCCAGATGTATTACAACAGTACCAGTAGCCAATCACCGGTCAAGTGCAAGCCACCTCTGGAATGGAAAGCATCAGCTATTCTGCATTAGCATACTAATAGTTAGATTAGTATCTGCCTCTAACTGCAATTGTTAAATTTCTGTAATTACCTAAAAGGGGGAATGGAGGGGTTGAGAGGAAGCACTATCGAAGAAACTCATATCATATCATCTCTTTTTCCACATTAAGAAAATAATAGCGTGAGAAGGGTTGCAAATGAAAGCTTATTTAGCCCTTATTTCTCATTTGCCTGTTAGCAGGTCATTGATTCGCAAATGAACGTTACCGCTGGGCAGCTTGTTCCAGACAAACACAACTCTTTGTGTAAAGATGTGACCCGTGTTTTCGGTATCTAACGTACCTCATTTTGGTTTACTCTTGGTTGGATTATCTTGTCCTAATTTCTCTCTGGTGATTCAAGTACCTTCCCTTTTCCCCTCCTCCACACCTAAATGCAAACAACAGAATGTGTGATAATACCAATACTTCCTTTGTATTGTATTGTTTCTTTTGTGGTTAATGGTATGAGGTAACCCATCAAGTTCTGGTAGGTGAGTAAGTTTAATCAATAGGTTCTGTGTGTGTTGGGGCAGGAGTGAGGGTTGGTGCAGGGGAGAATTATCATGCTCACGTTTTCACACCCATAATTAGCAAACCTTCAGCTAAAACATTCATTGGCAATCAATAATTGTTGCGGGGCCATTGAACACATCAGTGTCCTGTGAGACCTCACCCACAGCCAGCAGGCGATTAAAACCCTAAAGCCAAAGCTAAAGGGAAAGTGCAGAAAACCCAACAACACAAAAAAAAACACTGTGACCTTTGATTCTTTGAGTAGCTTGTAAAAACTGATTAGGAACAGGCCCTGACTTGATGCAAAACTTGTGACTCAAGTTCCTTTTGACATTCAAACAGAATTCCAGTAACAGAGTGGTCCCAACAGAGGTACCTACTGTACAACATTTTCCTGAAGAAAACTCAGTGTAAATGATTTTTCAGGTTGAGATGTATTGGAAAGCTTCTTACTGTGTTAGGACTGTTTTTTAAGAAGACATTCAATATACAGTATACTCAAATTAAAAGCAATTGGTGGTCTACATTGAGATTTTTCTGACTTTTGTTATTTTTAAGGTTGCTTACCACTATGAAGTACACTTGACTTTTAACAAAACTTAGCTCTACAGTACTGTGCGTAAGGAGGGAACTGTGTACCTTAGGTATGTTTATAGAGAGATTGGAAATATGTCTTTCCACAACTCACAATATCATGTTTTATAGTAATAAATGAATACAGTTGAGGGAGATGCATTGTATTGCATTTGCTTGTGAACTTCTAGTTAGTTCTGTTTTACTGCTTTGATCTTGTGAAAGCATTATTAAACTGTACATTTGAGCAATATGACCAGTGTGCATAGGGGAGCCATGGATTGGAGGAAAGGAAGCTGAACAGTTTTATATTGTCAAGCGGCACAAGCTTATGTAGCGATGTCATTAAGAGGAAAACTGTCCTTTGAAGTGGTTACATGACTTACTGCACCTCCACAGCAGAACAAGAGTGCAGAAAAGGCCATGATCATTACAGGAAAATGTTTATGTTGCAGCAGTATAAAGTTAACTTTTATTTGAGGGTGTAAGCTAACCTTTTTCTAAGGTCAGTTTCTTTCCTTTTTTGCAAAATGAAAAAAAAAACAAGCAAAAGGTTCATTTGTAATCTTGATCTGAGGACAAATGTTAAAAAAATACTGTTATCCAAAAAATAATCGATATAACAAGATCCTTCGGTAAAGTGTTGGAAATAACCAGTGATGATAATTCAACAGCACAATATTAAAAACATGTTTTCTGACAAACCCCAATTCTATCTCTGACATTATGCTTTAAGTAAAGCTGAAAATCGTGTAAGCTATCTGTGAAATGTGGCAACGAAATGATGTGAAGGTATTTTAAATCTAGACAACTTGTTTAATATAAACACCAGTATAACGAACAAAGTAAAATGAACTCCAGCTGTATGTGTATGACAACTCAGTTACAGGACCGTTAAGAATGTGTTATTAGAAATGTGAAAACAAGAAATTACAAATAAATGGCACATTTAAAAAATAGAACTGACTTTAGGCATATCACTTATCCATGATCACTTTTCCATGATCTCTTAAATTGGTTTGAAAGCTGAAATGTGTGCATTTCTTACCCTGCATAGGTAGAATTATCAAGAGGGTTTTGGTCAAATGTGAGATGCTGTATGAAAAAAAATTCACGAAGAGAGCACTTTATTCTGGCTTGAGAAAACGCCCTGTCCTGACGTCAACTAACAGAAATGTTTTTTCAAAAGTGCAGTACAGTGAAGCTGTTAAATAAAACACTAACCTGTGTGCTTTTTAATGCGTTCACTCCGACCTACTTACATACTACTTTACCCCTGACAGAATGATTAAAAGCTGCTTTGAAACCATGATACCCTCCGGGGGGTTGAGGCTGGGAAGAATATCACAAACTGCTGGGAAGGCTGCAGTCAGCTAGAATGCTTCCCTACAGTTTCTCCCAGCTAATTCACATGTAATTAAAAGCAACGTAAATAATTTAAGAGGCAACGTGAAACAGTAACAGGCAGTACAGTAAGCATGATTCGAAGGCATGCTGTGTGCATCCACTGTTGTAGAAAAGGACAAGAATGATGAGCAAGAAATAATTACAAATATTTTTTTTTTGTTAAAACGCCTTGGTCCCTTAGCTTCGCAGCACGATTTGTAATGAATGCGTTGTAAAAAAACTAACAAAATTATACACCGAAAGATGGTAACAATGAGGATGTCCGATTACCGTACTTTAGTGTAGGCGAGTTATTGGCATTGAAGAGTATTAATGGTTAAATAGTAACCGCAGTGTGGAGAAGCCACGCCTTCCATTTCAGCACCTGGTGTTCTACAGACAGTTGCTTCAACAGTAGGGATTTCGGTGGGGATTGGAGGAAAATGAAGGGGGAGAGAATGTGACAACTGCCGACTCTGCCGACCGCCTTGGGAAGGCCTCCCGCACCTGTCCCTCTCCGTCTCTTGGTCAGCGCAGTTGTTGAATCAGACAAGCGTAGAGACGCTCTTATTTGCCAGACCACAGCGGCGTGCACAGCAAAAAAAAAAACAGAACATGACTTCTTCTTACAATCTGGATTTTCTTCCCGATATGATGGTTGAAAGCCGCTTGTTGGTTTCTGGCGACAGAATGTAAGTAATGTGTTCTTTAAGAGACGGCAATATACACATTAATAACAGCGACAGTTCTTATTTTTTTAAATCCAACTCATATGTTCATACGTGTTACAGTGTAGCTAGCTTGGTCATATTGTCATTCCTAGCGGAACGGGTTTGGCGCACTTAAAAAGGCATGAGGGCTGCGCTCTTACAAATTAAAGGGGCAGTGTAGTCATGTCTCAGCTTCGGGGAAAAAAGCGGAAGGAAGAATGGATACTTTGATGGAAATTGAATCACGGTGCCTGTACTGTGAGCTCTCGGTTTGCTTAAATCGTCGAAAAATGGCATGGCAGCAGAGAAATACATTAGCTTCGGGATCACACTAAACACCCGTAGTTGCACGGTGCATTTTTGTGTGCGCTCGAATTCCTGCCCGAAGTGTTCGTGCTTGCTTGTTTAGCTGCCTTCTTCTTCATGATCCGGGCAGTGTTCCTGTAGTCGAGAGGAGAAAACTTGCTTGGATACACGCAAGTGGGCAACTGCTGCATGGTTTCGCTGGGGCCTGAAGAAGACAATCTGCTGCCCACTGCTGTCTTCAAAGCCGCGGGGGAGAAGGGGGGTGGGGGGCTTGTGAGCCGGACTTCATTATCCAGCGCTGTTCCTATTCATTTTAACTCGGCATTTCCCACAATATCAGTTGCTACGCAGAGTGAAGTTTTGCCTTCTGAACATCCCCTTCCAAAAATTTCAGACTGTATCCTTCCACGTATTACACGGTTTTACTTGCACGGTGCATTGTATTTGTTGCCGTTTTACAAATACTCATTTTCCAAAGTTGACGATATACAGTATTTTTGTTTCAGTAGACATGGTACTGTACATCCCGGCATAGCAGACCCTACTATGTGAAGCCCCAACCCCCTTCCCCATATTGTTCTCCAGTGTGTATTGTGACACTTTTAAAACCTTTGGGATGTTGTGAGTGAAGCTCAAATGAAGTTGCATGATGCAGTTATACGTACCAGCTGCAAATACCAGCAAATCATCGGTGCTTCCACTTTCTCCCGGAGGCTCTTGATTCTTGACTTCTTGAGCAGAACTGCATACATTTTCTAATCTTGCACCCAAAGTGATAGGTTGCAGGGAAGAGCGCAGAACTATTGAAAGCATACAGGAGGGGATTCTGCTGTGCCTAAATGTTATTAACATGCCTTTGTCTGCACAAAGAAGATAAATCAGTCGTAAAAAATAAATTGGAGGATTAAAATGTAACAACTATCCGATATGCTTTGCTTCTTCCGTTTTTGTTTTTTTTTTGCCCTTTCAAATCATTGTAAGCAATGCCCGGAAAAATGTGTATATCTGCTAAATTCTCCTGGTTCTTTTTTGTAGTGTTGTAGTTTGTCAGATCATATAGCCTATGGGATTTTACAAATGTAGAGGTTTTAAAATTCTTTTAAAATTGTTTTTGTGCGCTTTGAATATCCAAATCTGTCTCCGATGTTCAGACCCGTTTGTAAGCAGCAGTTTGAAAACCGATGGTTTAGTTGTTTGCATTGTTGAGATTGTCATTTATTTAAACGACAAGGAATTTATCAAATCAGAATTTCTATGACCCACGGCTAAATGACAGATGCTCTTCATACAGCATTTTATTATGATTCTATTGAATGTTCAGAAATGAGCTACATCAGAATGTCAAGAACTGGAGAAACTTGCAAAAGACTTTTGTTTAAAGTTTGGTGGGCACATTAACATTCTTCCGTAAATCGTTTTTTGAACTGTATTACAAAGAAACCCTCAAACCTCTTAATTCCCTTTCATTCTTAAGCCTGATGATTTAAACATTATACACTGAAAGTGAGTGATTCATTTTGAGTTCTGTGGGACAAAAACAAAAGACTCTTAGACACTTATCATGCTGACATCAGAGGCCAGCAATGACTGTAACCCCTGCCTGCAACATGCAGTGTCTGTGCTGGCAGCCAGCATTATTTGTAGAAAGTGATCTCCTTTTCTGTGACAAGTGGCACAGTGCTTAAGACCTAGCTTGTTTTGGACCCTGTTAATTCCTGCAGCTGCTCTGAAAGCGTGTGTTGCGTCAGTGTTCTGATTTGTTGCTAAAAGCCGCTAGATGTATTGAAGAAGGGAGAATGACATCCATCCTTCTTCTAACAAGACAGCATTAAGTGGAATGTTCAATGTTCAGAAGGGGCATCGCAGGCTATGTATGATTATCGTCTCTTATTAAAAGACAAGTCTTTCAGTAATGTGTAGTATTACTACAGTACAAAACTGAAATAAGCAATTATAAGTGATGAATAAACGCACTAAACCCATTTAGAATTCCTGTAGTCCCAATATGAGTACGGTAGCACATTATCTTACTAGATATTTTAGATCTATTATATTCCTGCGGCTCTTTTGAATGGTTTTAATATGCTATTTGGCACTCTTCATTTGCCACAAAATGCCTTCTTCATTAATAACGTTTGACCTTAGGTTCTTGAAGTGCCATGAACATACTGTCTGCTTAATCGGTGTCATGACTGGTGAATGTTGATGAATTATTGCACATTTACTGTCTTTATAATGATATACACAGGGTGCAATCACAACGGCTGTTATTTTGGCCATCAAAGCTCAGCCATAGAGATGTAAGCTTTTCAAAGGCTGTTGGATGTATTTGGTTGATGGATGTATATGTTCAAAAATCATCATTTCATGATGCAATGTTGGTCTCCTACTTTCTATCTGTTATCCATGTCATTCCCACATAACAAAAGGTAGAGGAATTATTAAAACACAGGCTACCGTTACAGATGCTTCGACAATGCATGGCTTTGTTTAAGGAGCCTTTCTTTTTTGTGCCATTTGCTTTCTGCTTAATATTTGCTATCAGCGTTCTGCACTCCATCTGGGTTTTTGTTGTCTTGGTTTGAATGACATGAGCTGACGTACATTTTTAGATTTAGAATTATGTCCATTAGCCACTTGTGAGACAATTTTTCTCTTTTGGTTAGAAGATTGTCAAATCTAGTAAATATCTCGTAGCTCATATGCCATTCGAAAAGAATAGACAGTCCTTTGTGTGTGTTATTGTATCTGTGTATGACTGTCTGAGCATATTTTGCAGAGCACTTAGCAACATCTGTAAATCTAACTGCTACATAAGGTCAAAATACATACTGCAATCTTTAAACATATGTACAGTAAATATGACCTGCTTTTCAAAATCAGGTTCTGGGGAAGTCCTTGGTGTTTTGTTTCTGTCAGTCTGTCAAAAAATACATTAAATGAGTGGCAGCAAATATTTTTAATCTAAAATATTCTAGTACAACTTTAAATATTTGTCAGTATCAAAAATCTAAGCTTGGGAATTAAAATTAAATATACTGTTTTGGGGCACGGAGGTCACAAATCCTACTTATAGTTGTTTGAGTAAAAGCTTTGAGTTTATTACTAAAGTTTCACTAGCAGTGTAAATATTTAATATTGAAAGTAATAGAAACTTGGGCTGTTGATTGCTTGATCTAAACGTGGGGTCTAAAACATTAAAGTTTACTTTCAGTACGTACTGTTACACATTAAGAAACCTAATTTGATTTCAAAGAAATATAAAGAAAAGTTGTTTTAATATACTTATCATACAAATTATAGTATATTGTCATAAAAAGGACCCTATCATTGTCAGTCGGATTAGGCTTTGGTCCACTGTGACGTAGTGTTGGACTAAGCAGTTATTGAAAACATATGTATAAATGTTTTTTCAGGTGAACGAAATATTTTTAAAATATGGAATTGTTGTTTTTTTCACGTAGGCTGTTGTTTTCTTTTTCTAAATATTCCATTTAGCACAGAAAAATTATATTCTGATGTACTTAGTGAGAATTGAGAGATCATTGTGTTGCTGTGGTTCCTTTTTTGCCAGCTGTAAACATCATGACTTTTTTTTTTGTTCCTTGGGAAAGGTCTGAGCTTTAACCTTTAAGATGTTCCACATCACAGCTGTTAAAGAACTAACGTTCTACCAGCCAGAGATTTTTTTCCCACTTTATCATTAAAATAGCACAGAACATTTTTAAGGCAGTGCTGTACTTTTTTTTTTACATCATTTAGCCTCTTAATAATTATGGATATGTTCCACTTGCCACTTCTAAAATATGCATTATATACATCGACTTTGTTGTTTTGTGTACTTTTGAAGCTTTCTGTAACATTAATTTCTGGGAATGTCCTGTCCCACCAGTTTCTTACCAATATGCTTTCTATGTACAGTATCTTCCTGCCTCAGCTGAATCAGCTGATTTGAGAGTCCAGATCCACAAATCTGTGGTCTTGGTTCTTTCCATGAAAATGTCAATCCTTGAAAAGGATTGTTCTCTTCAGGTGAGTGGAAGAGTATAGTATACTGCCCATAGTAGAGAAGTTCCAGTTGCTTGATGGTCTTGTTCAGGAGCAATGAAAGAGGGGATGTGAGATTGGCCAACATATCATTGTGGCATCTTCCGCACTGTGGGTTTTGTACCTCTTTATGTGGTGAAGCAAACACTGGGTTCTCAGACAAAGCTCTGTTTACAGGACAGTCTCTGTCAGAGGTAGTTAACCCTGGCACTTGGATTCAGTGCCATTACAAGACTTTGATTCTTCCATTAGATTAAATACTGAACTGATCTATAATTGCTTAATTAACCTAGGCGCAGCAGAGGACATAGCTAATTAAGGATTAGCTAGAGTGAAGACTTGCAATGGGATGGAATCCAGGTGTTAAAAGTCTTGGTACTTTGGGTAATGACAAAAAGTATGACATCACATGTACAAGCAAATGAAATGAAGTTTCTCTGAAGGCAGTCTGCTGCTCTGACCTATAAAAACAGAGTGAAGATTTTAGTAAGTGTGTAGTATCACTTCTTAAATACCTTACAAATCGTAATGCATTAACAGAAATGTAAGGGTGAATAGTAAGGCACAATAAAGTTACATTTTGACAGTAAAGTTGATAGTAAAAAAGGTGATGGGAATCTTATCAATAA